GTTTTACCACTCTCATAGTTATCACGGTGAAAAAAGACGACTCCTTCAAATTGGCATTAGACGCAAGACCTGTTAATAGCCAATTGTACAAAAACAAGTTCCAAATTCCAAATGTTGATGAGCTACTAGATGGGGTGAGTCAAATTGTAACAGTAAAAACATCGGGGACACTATATTCCACGGTGCTCGACCTGCAATATTCATATAGTCAACTTAAGTTAACTGCGGAAAAGCCAAAGTTGCAGTTTCAATATTGTGGGGGGACAAGCAACGGGGACATATAGGTTTCTTACTGGGTTCTATGGGGTAGCTGAGATGCCAGCTGAGTTTCAGAAGGCCATGGATTGGACATTAAACCACGCTAAGAACACATTTTGTTTCCAAGTTGATATTTTGATCGTTCTGAAGGGAGATGAAAAGAAACATGAAAAATTAATCTTAGAAATATTAAAAAAACTAATTGATGAAAACCTTGCTTTGAAATTTTCCAAATGCCAATTTTTTCCAACAGAAATAAACTGGCTTGAGTATAAAATATCACCGAGTAAATTTTTTCCAAAAATCACAAAAAAAACGGAGGCGATACCTAATCTACAACCGCCCAAATCCCTTAAACACTTCAGATCGTTCATGGGCAGTTTTCATCATCTTTCTAAATTTATCTCAAGCGCAGCAAGCTTAAATGACAAACTCAGACCATTGTTACGGGATGGAAACGAAAAAAAAGAAGTTGAAAACATTCGAATGCCGGTACAAAAAATTTTATCGGGGGACCAACACTGCCTAATTTTCGAAGAAATCAAGAAGTCGGTTGCAAACATCGCCCAGATGCATTATTATAACCCCTCAAAAGATACTCGGGCAAAATTCGATGCAAGTCATAGTGGCCTCAGAGCAGCTCTGGAACAGAGAACCGGGGAAGACGAATGGATACCAATTACATTCGCATCACGCTCCCTGAATATTCAAGAAAACAAATACTCAACAAAAGAGCTGGAAATGCTCGTAGTAGTATGGTCGGTAGACCGGTTCAAACACTATTTTTTGGGTAAGGAGTTTATAATAGCTACAGATCACAAAGCTCTCATCGAACAAAACGTATCAATTTATAGTCACCAGATTGTCACCTAACCAATTTTAAAAAATACATATACCTCGTAGAGAAATGGGAATAGTAGATTACTTATCAAGAGATCCAAATGGGGAACCGCGGCTAGTCAAAACTGGATTAAAAAACTGTTTTAACCTCATTTGAGGATTTTCATAAGGCGCTCGTCTGTTTAAACAGTCGGTTAAGTAATACAAGGGAGCTCAACCGGAACGAAGAAATTCTGAAACACTCCGAGGCAAAAACTGAGTTCAGCCATAAGAAAGAGACGTCATCTCACGGTTGCTATAGCAAACAATTTGGTCTAAAACGAACAAAGCTCGACCGGACAGAAAACGGTCAAAACTCACGTCTTTCAAAATAGAAACAAAGCTATTCAAGCAAAATATCTCAATCAATACAGTAGGTCAGAAAAAGCTTGGAGACTCTCTAAAGAAGTCTTGGAAAGATGGAAAATATCAGACCGGAGAAAAAAATTGAAAAAAAACCGTGAAAATCAAAGAAAAGATACACAGCGGCGGCGAGCGAGAACAAATCACGGACCATGTGACAGAAACAACCTTTCAAAGAACTCGCATGATTAAAAGAGGAACGTTGAGCAGAAATGAGTCAGACAGTTCAGATTCCAATATACCGCAGATCGAGTGGCGGGCCATCGACAAGTACATAACGGCCAATCCAGAGACTCGAACATCTCCGTCACCACAGAAAAAAGCACCTAAATTATAAATTAGTTTCGTTTTGGGATCTGAGTGGGTCGGAACGGGCAGTTGACCCAGGAAACATGCTAGAGTTGGAGGCGCACTCAAGACGGCAAACCAAAATGCTGAAGAACATTAAATAGACTGCGAAAACGGAAAAAAGGGAACGCCTATCGTTGAGGTCGATCTTTTAGCCGGCCCAGAGGTCAGTGTTGTAGCAGGAAGACGAGTTGGCCACAGATAGCGAAAGGAAGAATTTCGAATAGCCGAAAAAGATGACGTGGGAGAGCTTGGAAACCTGTCGAAGTTTTTCGACAGAAGTCTAATTGCTGAGTCGATTACGGAAGACACCTCAATGGAGAGTCTTCGCGAGTTATTGCGAGAAAGTACCGACATAGCTTCGAACTCGTGGGCCCATACACGAAGTCTCTTTGGCACCAGATGTCAGTCGTGGACGACTGCATACTTGTAGATAGTTGGCTGGAGGTCCCAGGTCAATTGCGCCCAGTGGGCCTCAAACGCATCCATCTTGGTCATCCTGGTCAAGAGGCAATTCTAGACGTGTCAAACTACACACTTGCAAAATATAGTCAGTTTGGTGGAGGAATGTAGGACCATCCGCTATGGTAAGAACGATAAATGCTACCAAACCGCTACCACTGCCAACGAATCAAGTCGGCAACTACAATTAGACCATGAGGGACCACTGGAAGACCATAATGGAAATAAAAAAAATTTTGGTTGTAACAAAAGATCGGTACTCAAAATTTTCGTCGGTAAAAATACACAATCAACTGGGCGAAAACTTTCGACAAAATTCTTACGTACATATATTGATACACAAGGAATACCAGAGTCCATAAGAACTGATCAGTTTTCTGGTTCTAAAGGTAAAGCAATGCGAAAGTTCCGCTCAGAAAATAACATAGAAAAAAATCTGTCCACTGGGGGTCCACCGCGGTTGTGGATTTTTTGAGCGAACTATACAAACAATCAGGAAAAGACTGGAAGTAATGCTTTTGGACGAGAATGTTACATCCATAAAGCTTTTTCTTAGTACAATAGTGCCTGATCTTAGATGGAATAAACAAAAGACAATACAACGCTTTCCGTTCGAAGCTCATTTCGGACGTCTTCCAAAAACAAGATTTAAAATTCTAAGGGATAAATTCTTAATTGACTCTGATCATTTAGATAAAGAGCGCCTGGAGCGATCGGCCCTTCCTGCGTCCCAGCTGAAGAAGCAAATCGTAGGGTTCAGAAAAGGGAGAACCGAAAGATAAGTCGCAAAGGGCAAAGCAGTAGGGACGTAAGGCCATTGTTCAAGCAGCAAGTCGAGTCTGCAAAGGATAGGGATCGGGCAAGGGCACTAAAGACTCTCCTTGAAGCAAATGCTAGGTCAAATGCCACAAGAAGGGATACATCGGCAAACGACATAGGCGAATAGTGGAAAAAACAAGCACGATTAATCCAGAACTGCGCAAGGAGCTGTTATACTCATGGGAGCGGGGTTTCATAAAAGACAAAACTTAGCTGAGCGATAATTTAAGTGGGTCCTTCCTGATTTCGACAATTAACACGTCTTTTTATGTTTGCCATAGCAAGTGCTATTATCGGGAATTAGTCTTTTTTTTCTCGTAAACATTTTTTTTTAAATAAAGCTACAAGAAGTTTAATTTAATTTTTTTTGCAGTGTTGAACCTCCAGTGTTTAACTACCTGGCCTGGACGTAACACAGTTGCCTTTTCCTACAAAGATCCGCGGTTTGAGTCCCAGTCGGACCTTTTTTTTCAGTATGTGTAAAATTGGATTTGTTTTCTGCAAAAAATTGAATCGTCGGACTTTCGTTTGTCTGCTAATGTAATGATTGTCGTTCCAGTTGCGTTTCTTGGGCTTTTCCTAATTTATCTGCAGTTTTGCATTGCAAAGGCAATTCGTTTTTAACTTACTCCTGTAATTTGTAAGTTAACTAATCCTATTTCTTACTTCTTATTTCCGCAAAACTTTTTTTTTGGCCGGACTGGCTTAAGCTCCGAGAGGAAAACGATGGTTCGAAGACGGTAAGGAGAAGTGGGAGACAAACAAAGAATCAAGGACCCAGACGGTACGGATATCCGATAAAGCATTCAGTCAAATTTATCTGCCCAGACGAGGACATTACGGATTTAATTAAGGCAGCCCTCGAAGTCTATCGACATTCAAGACAGATATCAAAAAACCAGGGAAAGCCAAATTTGGCTTACTCGACAGGCAATTGTTCAGACGAAAATCGGAAGTTCGTCACTAGACATTACACGATCGTGGAATGCATCGTGGAACTTACCATTAAGTTCGAGGAGAAACAAGAGGAAAGAGAAGCAAATTAAAAACAATAAAAGAGAAGAGCCAAAGGAATCAAATTTGTATAAACAAAATTTTAGTAAACTGAGTATCAAAACTTCTATTTACTAAATTTTATAGAATGTTACATAAAATTTTTTCCTCCGGAAATGTGGTACGGTACAGTAACTGTCACTACAGTAACCGTACAATAACCTTGAGATGTTCACATTGTTATCTGTATACATACATATTTTGTTACTACTTCTTCAAGGTCATACGGTGTTGACCAATAAGCTATAGCACTGAGGTTCAGATCTCCGTGTGTTAGATACGCAAGTCAGTCATCTGCACAAACATCGGTGATAGTAAAAAACAACGGTTTCATATTTAAGTTAACTATTTGAAACCTTAATTGTTTTCAATCAGAATTATAGTTATTCTATCCGGTATCACATTCCCATAAATTTACGAAAAATGATCACAGATAAAAAATCTTTTCAAATTTAAGTTTAGGACAACAATAGCTTTCCATTGAAAAAAGTTCCGTCAAAAATAGCTAGTTAAAAAGTCAAGACTTGTTTGCAAAAAAAACCACCCGAGCACAAATATTCCGTTACTTTCGTTACGAAAGTCGGAACAATAAAATGAAATTTCACAGCAGGCCCACAGAGTAAGCAATTTTTGGCGAAAAATTAAAATAATACGGTTTTTCCTAATTCGAAAAAAAACTTCTAATGTTTTCATTTTTGTTTTGGATTTGTATCCCATACTCGACACGTATCATAAGAGCATTTTCTCAAAATCAGTTCTCATTTGAATGATTTAATTTGTCGCTTATGCTTCAATGTGACCAAACATATAGCGTGTAAAAGATCTCACTTGCAAGTATTCCCAAATTCAACCACAAATCTGAACAAGACTATTCGTATCAGGGCGAAGCCCTGAATGTTCCGACTGCCTTTTAAGATCTATGGATCAGTAATAAGTTGTTAAAAACAATTATGAAAAATAAAAAGACTTTTTTTTAAATTTGAGTTTTTTTGAAAATTATCTCTTCACATGCCTTATTAAGTAAAATTTGATAGATTCAGCTCCTATTAAGAAATCAAAAAAAAGCAAATAAGCGTTCTTCAACCAATTTGGCACAAATTCTGAGACGGATTGAAACTTCGCTTACGCGGTAATAGAGTTGTATCGCGCGTTAGGTGTCTTTAATCCTTAATTAGCAAAAATTGCAACATATAAACCCTCATAACTTTACGACAAAAGATCACAGGCAAAATGTCTTTTCCATTTCAAGCTCAGGGCAACAAAACCTTCTGAACGAAATTAAAAAATTCCGTCAAAAATTGCTAGTTATAAAGTCGAAATTAGTCTGAAGAAAAAACCCACTTAAGCACTAATATTCCGTTATTTTCGATAAGAAAGTCGGAAAAACAAGACTGCTTGTTTGTTAGGGCAAAGCAGCTTTGATTGTTCCAACTGCCCTCTAATCCATATCGTATAGTTTTTGGGAAAGGAACATATTGAAAAAACAATAACTTTTGGACAAAAACAAAAACCAAAGTAAAATTTTGAGTCGTACGAGATGGAAATAACTCTAGCCGCAATCCAATTTGAAACAATTTTTTCTTGTGCGGGACAATTTTTGACGCATAAATATTTCGTGTAAAGCTTTCTGTATTATGAATATTTGCTTCAAAACGCGCATAAATTAGTCCAGATCATGGCCAAACTGACAATTTTCGAACTCCTAGAAGTTTGCAAAAATTGATCAGATAAAAATAATGTTTTTTTATTTGATTTTAGGAAGTAATTATCTGCAAGGGGTATACTTTTTTTGTCAAGAACTTTTGTTATGTTTGCCAAAAATTGGCTGAAAATAAAACCAACACAAGCGCAAGTTTTCCGTTTTTTCGAAATTTGAGACTGCCCAGAATATCTTTGCCTTGCTTCACTGTTTAGTTTTTGTCACACTTAGATTATGCAGCTAAGTTTTTACCGCAACTAAATTCAATTTTATTGCACTCTTTAGAGAAGCAGAGGAACTGGGCTTTGAAACGAAAGTTTTTCCGACCAAAACTTAGAAACTAAGCACCCACAAAAAACACCAAGCAAAATAATTCCGTTTTCATCGAAAGTGGGAACAACAAGACTGCTCGTATCGAGGCAAAATCCTGATTGTTTCGACTACCATTTAAACGGTCTCAATTAGTTTTTGGTGAAAGAATTTTTGACAATAATAAAAAATGTAATTGTTAACATTTGAGTGGTATATGAAATTATTAAGATCAGTTAGCTTGTCCCAATTCAATTTGGGACAGCTTTGTAGTTCGGGATAACTTGTCACGCGTAATTAATTTGCCTTAAGTTTTCAGCATCAAAAAGTAAAAGGAGCAAGTTAATGAAGTAGTAACCGACACCCCGGTGGAACCTGTTTACGTCCAGAATAAAAATTAGTCTGATTTTAACTTTTTAAAAATAAATTAAACTTTTAAGTTGAACTTTTAAAACACTATAAGCATATATCTTCCTAAATTTCTTCCACAATTTGAACAAAAACAAATAATCGGAGATGAAATCATTTCCGTAAATGTGAACGGTAATATCAATATCGTTCAGTTTGTATTAAAAAAGTCAACCAAAAATGACTAGGTAAAAAACTGTGCACAGAAAAACGCCAACACAGCAAACGCAAACATAACTCTTGATACTATTTTAAGTCCTCCATTTTTGGCTGGCTGACCTTTCTAAATTTTTTTCTAAAAGCGCCCTCAGCACCAACATATAGTAATTCTGAGGGGAGCGCGCGCCAAAATATGCGTTTTTCTGGCCCGTGTTCTTAAAAAATTGCCTGCGGTCCAAAAATATAATCAGAACAGGGATCTTTTGGTGCCTTGGGAGAGCTCGACGGAAAATCAATTTGGTCAACCTAAGAAATTTGACAAGTTTCACTCCACCTCTCGAGAAAATGGTAGACACGCCCCTTCATACGGGCGTATATTTTAGTTAGTTTTTCAGAACGCCAGAACAGAAAGCGTATTTTTGTACCGATCATCAGAGAAAAGTTCTTTGACGAATTTTTCTCCGACTCAATGTGGTTTTTCATGAAGTGAATTTTGTTGGATCTTTCGTTTGTTCAAGCTCTGAAATTGAAACTGAGAGTGAAGTAAACTTTTTTCAAATTATGGTAATGTGATTACTATCAACTGCAGATAAATAAAATTCCCATTTGCTATATTTCCATTAACGCGTAGCGCAGTCGACCAAAAAAATCACCCAAGAAATCAATCCTTTAAAATTTGAGATTGACCGAAAACTTCCTCTACTAGACATTATCTACCCACATCGCGAACAAACCAATTCGAGCGTGAACAATTTCTAGAAATTTTTCCTGAAAGAAAAAACAAATATAACATCACAAAGACCTATATAAGAGTATTCACTATGTTCAAGAGTCTTAAGTTTCTAAAACAAAATAAGATAAGTGAGATGCTCATGAAGAACCCTTGTATTTAAGGTATGGCATCCAAAATCTTTCCTGGCTTCGTCGTTCTTATGGTGACTCTGATATGGACTACGACCCAGTAGAAACAGGAAGCATGCTCGTTGTAAATACAATTGTACATTACTTGACCATTTTGTGAATGATTGGCTGACTCATCACTGGAAGACCTGCAAGTCAAACTTCTGAAGAAACTTAGGAGACATTCTACATAAAAACATTCAAATCAAGTTACGAAATTTCCATCAAACATATAGAAAAGTTAGAGAGCAGTTTTCCAGTAACTATTAGATTGACAACAAAGTGGTTTAAAACAAATTTTTGATGCGGTTAAATGAGATAAAGTTTGAAATTAAAAGTTGGGAAACACGTCTAATTCTGAATGCGAAGAAACACAAAAGTTTTTTAAAAATATTTCTCTCAATTCTGCTTGTAAAATAGGAGCCTGACAAAAAGAATTGAGTTGATATATTTTGATTATTTTTGTATGATCAAGATGAATTTAAAAAGCTTCAAAGATTTTCGGCATCAAAGATTTCTGGTTGTTGTGGATGCTCGGAGGTTCCAATCAATCGTTTATGTGAATTGAATGTCTTTTTTCACGGTGACCTTGATATTAGACTCGAATTTTGATAGCTGTAAAAAACTGGAATCAACAGTTATACTCGAACAGAGCAATCTGCCAATTTGGAACAAATTTTGCATGCACAATTGAATTTTTGAGAAAAATTTTGAGAAAAACCTTGAGAAAAACTTTCAACTGAAAATCTTTTTATTCAGGAGTGGTTTTTTTATTCAGTAAATTTTCACCGCTCGAAAAAAAATTTTCAACAAAAGTTTTTAAATCCCCGTTGAAGATAACGACTTTTTGAGTCCGACTGTAAAAAGATATTTCACCTCCAATTATTTTTTGTAAAGATCTGGGGGTTTGAAAATTGCGCTTTGAAGAGTATTTTCATAATGCTTAGAGCGTAACGCGAATTATCCCGCACAACAAAATCGTTCCAAAGTGAATTGAGGCTAGCTAATTGGTCGTATTAATTTCGTACGACTCAAAACTTTACGCTTTGATTTTTTCCAAACTGTAGGTTTTCAATATTTTAGTTTCTCAAAAACTATGCGATATGAGTTAAGGGACAGTCGGAACATTCAGAGTTTTGCCCTGATAAACGAACAGTCTTGTTTATCTTATTGCTAGTCATTTAATTCTATAACCGGGGAAGATGTTTTTCATACGAATCCGCAGAAAAAAAGTCCATGAAAAACGACTCGAAAAAAAGACAAGAAAAACCCAGTTCTATCTTGAGCCTTTTTCCAAAAATTGAACTTCCGAAGGTTTATGAGCTTCACTGATTATTGTTACGACTTTCGTTATGAAAGTAACGGAATATTTGTGCTCGGGTGGGTTTTTTTTTCTTCAGACAAGTTTCGACTTTTTAACTAGCCATTTTTTACGGAATTTTTTTGTATCATTCGAAAGCTATTGTTTACTTGAGTTTAAATTTGAAAAGATATTTCACCTGTGATTATTTTGCGTAAAGTTATGGGGGTTTAAAGATTGCCATTTTGGCCAATTTGGGACAACCAACGCGCGATAAATTTAGCGCTATTAATGCTTAAGCGGAGATTCAATCCGTCTTAGAAGTCGTTCCAAATTGGTTGAAAGAAGCTGATATGCCATAATTGATTTGTTAGAAGAAGCAACATTTATCCTTTTGTGTTTTATTTGGCGTGTGGGGGAATGATTTTCAAAATAATGTTGAATTTTAGAAAAAAAATTTCACTTTGTTGTAATAAATTTGTTTTTTTTTTAAATGTTATTACTGCTCCATAAACCTTAAAAGGCAGTCAAAACATACAAGGTTTTGCCCTGATTCGAGCAGTCTTGTTATCACTTTGCAATTATTATGGCGTGTGGGAGGATGTTTTTACAAAAAATATCAAATCTAGAAAAAAAAATTTTTTACTTTTTTTTGCATTCAAATTTTTCTTGTTATTACTGCTCCATAGAATTTAAAAGGCAGTCGGAACATTCAGAGCTTCGCCCTGATACGAGCAGTCTTGTTTGTGTTTTGTCCGAAAACAGAATAACCAGGGCTTTTCGCTTTTATGAAATCCCACACGTTAAGCGCAACAAGCTCACAAATAAACTGAATTGATCATTATTTTTGAAACATTTTGATGATCAACCGTACAATCCCTCCTCCCTAAGAAATCTATCGTAGAATGAACCCCCCCCCCAAGCATGTATTATTTTCTGTATGATATATGCATTTCATACAAACGCATTTTTTAAAACTTTTTTATGCGGTATTGCAATTGTATTGCTGTTAATTTCCTAGATTAATGTTTAAATTCAGTTTTCTTGAGTAATACGGTGAATTCTGAACCAATCTATGCTATTCTCAAAATTAGCTGATGAAAAATCCAAAATTTTCCCCTTTAAATTGATTTGGGCGGGGAACTGTAAGGTTGATCCCATCTTGAAACTTACTTATAAATAATACAGTTTGAAAAAAGAATGTCAGGATACTATCAAGAAGAAATGAAGTTGGGTTAGATCTGGATGAGAGCAAATCTTAGTTTCCAATGCAGGACTAGAGGGCAAAGCCCTGATTGTTCCGACTGCACTTTTGCCAATGTAATTTAGTTAATAAATTGATGAAGTAATAAATAAAATAAAGCTTTCTGGTTCCGACTTTCGAAGAACGTGATGGAAAGTTTCTGATCGGGGTAGTTGTTATCTTCTGACAACTTTCAACTTGTTGCTCTGAGCTCAAATTCAAAAAGTTATAAATTTCACGCCATTTAGGCATTGCAAATTGCCATTTGTCAGAATAATTGGTCTATTTAAAAAGTTTCGTCATGGCAATCTATGACTTTTTTACATAGCGTGCGGGGAGATGATTTTTTATTGAAAAGTTTCAAAATTTTTCAACTAATTTGAGTTTACGCTTGGGGTAGCTTACTCATTGAGTAATTTCAGATAAGGTAAACCGTCTGTTCGTCACGCTATTCTTATTTCGGCCGGATAGATTCGTGCGACTTCTGATTCTATTACCGATCTTAATCTTACCCTTATATCTCCTAGTCTCAATATATTAAGTGTATACTGGTATTTGCGGTTTAGATATCTGGAACTTGTTCCAAAGGAGAACAACTGTCTTCTAAGTTATATTTGAATTGTTCTGGTGCTGAAGCTACAAATAGTTTTAGCATCACAATGGATATTGATTGAATAGTTATGAATCATGGTTGGTAAGTAAGAAATATTTTGTGTAGATAGTTTTTATCAAGAATAAATTTGGTTATAAAAACTAATTTTAAACTGGTTCCACCCATCCGGGATTTAGGGAGTTTTTACCAAAAGGTTGTTTAATGTAGTGAAAGATGGATGGAGAGATTTCATTGTTTTTTTTTGAAGCAGTGACTGCGTGAAAGAAGGAGAGATATAGTTATCTTCTGGAGAGAAGAAGGGCAGCTGTTCCAAATCAAAAAGTGGGTCTCGTTTTTTCCTAAATCGTCTTGAGTGATCGTGTCAAGAATTCAGATTGATGCAATGATGTGTCGCTTTCATTAAGCTGGATCGAGACTACGTGCAAGATGAATTTTGACCTTTCTTTGTGAAACGCCAAGTGACTAGAATCTATACGCAAAGTCAACATCGAGTCGGCCATTGTTTTTGTTCAATGGATTCTTTTTCTGCAATATTGGTTCCATACTTCAAATTTGGTGAGTGTTGTGACAACGGCAACAAACAAATAAATTGGCCATTCGAAAGATGGAATGTCGTCGGGTTTCTATCTCTCTATGCTGCCCAAGAGCGATGTTGATTTTTGCAGCGGAATCCAGCTTATTGATTACGTCTTCAAGCTTCTCGTTGATAATCTTGGTATCTAACTTTGACATTTGAAAGTTAAACACCTTATGTCTCAGATTCTCCATCTCAGTATCCACCAGGAATTGTTGAAAAGCACTCAACTCCTCTTTGAGTTTCTATCCATCATCCCCTTCCTCCTCTACAATCTTGTTCAAGTCAGCCACCGTATCACTTGGTTTCCGGTGTTTCGCTCCATGTTCTTTTTCCGATGTTTTTGGAGCGAGTAGTAACTCGGAAACTCCATCTCGCAAGAAAAGCAAACCATTGATTGCTTGGCAGTTGATGGAGCTTGGAAGTTCTTGGCCACGTGATAATTCGTTTCTTGCTTATTATAAGTGAAATACCTACAATCAAGACTGTTTGTTGGAAGTCTACCAATCAGAATCCAACAATTTCTAAAAATGAACTGTTTATTATTAAAAAAAAACCTTAATCATAATTTGAAAAATTTCTATCAAAAATCATTTGAATTTCCTCGAGTTACTCTACAAGAAAAAAATAATTCCCATTGATATTCTTATTGACAAAATAGATGTTGACTCTTAATTTTTTGATAAATGTTTGGACGTTTACGTGTCCAAAATAGAGTTCTCCGAATAAGTAAAGGTCTCTTCAGGGAAACTTACTCTTTCAAAGAGTTTATTTTTGATCCACATATTGCGTATCAGAGCTTTAAACTTACGACTGAATCACACCTCACAAGAAAATTTTTTTTATTTATTTTGAAGTTAATAAAAAAAGTTGTACAATATCATATCAAAGACTCTTTTTATCCCTTAAGAATTTTCTTAAGGATTTTCAAAGTTCAAAATCTTGCTTGATTTGTTTTGGAATCAAATTTCCAGAGGTTTGCTTTGAAAAAATCATCAACTTTGAGTTATCTTCTCAAATCTACATCAAAATCAAAAAACTTGACTATCTACTCAAAAATCAGCAATTTCTCATTGATTACATACTAAAAATTCAATTAGTTTGATGAAAAGACTTGCAGAGATGCTACTCTTTTTAGTTTTCCTTCTTTTGTTACTTATATCGGCAATATTTCTTATTTTTACAGCAAACAACTTTTGCTCATTCATTTTTGCGATTGCTTTTGTGTATATTTTTAATTAATTGGTAAATTTAAGACCTTAAAAGGTAAACTTTTGTCTGATTGCGTTCGACAACTAGAACAAAAACAAACATTTTTTTTTATTGGAAACGATAATGTGTAAAAGTACCAAACATGGAGCTTTGTTTCCGATTGGACACAACTTTTCTATAAGAATTCCATAACAGGAAGCTGAAAACTGATTAGACACGACTACAATCCAAATAAAGAAAATCCGTTCTGATTGGTTAAACCCACACATTCGAGTTGAAGGTACCCTCTCTCTTAACCAAAAATCATTTTATTTTCAATTTAACTACCGTCAACTACCTACTCTTGCAGCTCTAAATCATTCTTGTTTTTACTCTTTTACTAAATTTTTTGCACAAAGT